TATATATTTTCATACTGAAAATTAATAAAATGTGTAACAGGTGCTTTTTTTTTTTGGACTGGGAATCAAACTCAGGACCTTGTACTTGCCTGGCAGGCACTCAAGCAGCTGAGCTATCTCCCCAAACCCAGGTACTATTCTTTGAAATATTTTTAATGATACTTCTTCATTGTCCAAAATTATTTCTTCAAGTATGACCAAAATTATAGGCTTAATACCATAGTATTTCCTTTTTTAGCAAATTTGTAAGACTATTTAGAATGTGCTTTTAGAATTTTATGTTATGCTTGGAAGATGGGAGTATTAAAAGAATTCTTCCAGGCTGTAGAGCTCTTGCCTAGCATGTATGAGTCCCTGACTTTGATCCCCAGCACAAAAGAATTCTAGAAAAGCCTCCTTTAACATTCTGAGCTTCCAGAAGCTGCCTGCTCTCCTGGCCAGTTACCTCAACTCTGGCAAGAGAAGAGCAAAGTCGAAGACAGGGAGCTGGGGAGTCAGGAAGGGCTGCATGGGGCACAGTGAGGTTTCAGTCCTTCCTGGGCCACACTCAGACGTCTTAATGCTGCATAGCTAGCACGTGTTATCACCTTGATGAGAATGTTTCCATTGTGTATTGAATTACTCAGAGCAACATACAACTATGACAGTAGCTATCTGAAATCACACTAAAGACAGAAGCACACATTTGAATAGAATGTGAGTAGAAACTTTGAAAATCAAAAACAGATTTGAAGCCCTACATCAGGGATTCTTACTAGAGACTTGAATGGCCTCCTCTGAGTTGCTGATTCAGTAGGTTTAGAACGGGCTGAGAATGTGTATGTCTGATAATTTCAGAGCCATTGCCCTAGACCTTTTTCATTAGTAAAACCAGTAGAAAGTATCTGTTGAGTGTCTGAGGTTTAGGAAATATCTCTAATTTTTGTTTAAAAATTGATCTTATTATTTATAATGTAGAGTATGCTCAGTGATGTCTGGGCTGCTTGTGTTCATAATAAGGAGTTAATAACTTAGTAGTCGGAGCTAGGTGCTTGCTACCTAATGAGCACAGTGCCATCTAGAGGTGTGTGCCCAAAGGTCTGACAGAAGGCCAGGGAAAGCTGTGGTGTGGAGGGGCACATTCAAGGGTATATTGATAACCAATAGATGAGCATGTGTGGTGCTGCAGGGAAATACAAAGGAAAAAGTTCTACTCTTCATCTGTCAGGATAGTAATTTTTCATCTGTAGCCCAAAAGTTCTGTGTAGGCTGAGTAGGCCCATGAACTTTCTAGCATCCATTCAAGCAGAACAATCCTGCCTTCATCTGTTTTATATTGGAATTTCATTTGTAAGTCTGTGCTGTAGAAGATATAAAAATACATAATTTTTTTAGACAAAGCTAAAATAACACCTCAAATGTTAACAGTGTATTTTGTTTCATATAGATATGGTAAAATTATGAGTGAGCCAAGGAGATAGCTCAGCAGCATAAGCGCCTGCCTCGCAAGCGCAAGGTCCTGAGTTCGATTCCTGGTACAAAAAAATATGAATGATTGAAAATAATATTCCATCAAGGAGATTATGGGGCCAAAGAGGAAAGTGATCGATGATGTACAGTGTGCCTAAGGAAAGTCACATGGAGAGAAAACATTCTCTCAAGCTTTCAGAGAGCACATTGGCCAAGCAATGGCCGTGACTCATCCACATGGCTGACACTGACAAAGGTTCTACAATCTGAGGTACAGGATCTCAGGATAAA